CTATGGTTTTCTGTTTTACGCATGAAAGAACAACGTTCCTATCCTTAAAGGCTCCACTTATCCAAGTTGGGACAATTGTATTTGATCCATATATAGAGGAATAAATTTACTTGCAACCACCACGAACAGGGGAGGAGCTGGGTGCAGGCTTCAGGTTGTCATGACCCCCGACTCCCATATACTCCTTATTATTTACCATCTAATATATGTAGTAGTTCAAAAAAAATTAGAAAAATAAAGGAAATACTTTGTATAAAATATTTGAACATTTTAGGTGCATGAAACCTCGAGTTTGTACATAATTTGTATGACTATGATGATATGAATGTAGGTATATATAATGTACTTGTTATATAATCAGAAAGCCAATTGGCAGACACCTAACCGGCGTGCCAAGGTGCTTACAAAGGGAACCGCAGCAATTCCGTGCATGCATACAAACTTACAAACACATGAGATTAGTTCCCGTAGTTAGACAACTATAGAACCACTACTGGTCTTCGAGATAACTTGTATGCATGTAGTGAAAGTGCTTACTAATATATAATTTTCGGAATGAACAAAGGTTTTTTGTAGTAAAAATATGATTAGGGTTCAATAAACACTAAGCCCTAACTTTCCACGAACGATAACAATCGTGTGAGTAAACTTTTTTTTCCTTATGAATTTGAGTTTACACAATGATTTTTTACTAAGTTGGTTTGGAAATTCAATTTTTGTGAATTCTGTATTTATCACTTACCATTCAAATTCAGCTTTATATGGAAATGATTTCCTAAAATTTGTTGGCCAGTTTGGTAGAAACTACAGCACAATGTTACAAATAGGGACGCAAGACTGCAGTCCTTTGTCAACCTTCATAGAAATGCTAGCCAAGTCCAATATTTGGTCTTTTTAATTTTCAAAGGTTTCATATTTTTCCCTTTCTTTAGTCACAAGTAAGAGATCTTTCTGCCTATCAGATTCATTGAAATTTAGGTCATCTAGGTACATAATGGAGGAAAACACCTCCACTCTTACGTTCTCAAATAGAAAGGGAGTCAAACAACAATTGTTGGCTCGATACATATTGGGATCTCTTATCGGATCGATAATTTACTGAAAGTGTATGTGAAACTTTTTGTCTAGAGATGCATGGTTGTAAATACTCGTTATCTTTTTCAAAAGTTTTAGAGTGCTTTCATATTTCTGTGTTGGAGTGTCAAAGTGATGTGTAGACCAAAAGTTTAAAAAACACGTTGATTGATTTAAAGGTTTGAGAATTCAAACAAAGACTTTTGAAAAGTTCATATGGACCATTCGTGATAAAAACCCTAAGGAGAATATTGATGAATCTAGAGCTTATTTTCTTGAACGAGCTACGATATTCATAGATCTTAAATGTCTTTTCTTTTTCTTTTTTCAATTAAATAAAAGCATTTTATAGCAATATTTTGAATACTTTGCTAGTTCTGAAAATTCAATTTTCATGAATTCTGTTTTTCTCAATTACCTTTTATACTCATCTTTCTATGGAAGTTATTACCTAAAATTGGTATCACTAAGAAGGGTTGAGGGACCCAGCGATAATCTTCCTCGATTCACATATGCTTTTTAATCTCTTTTTTAGTGGAAGTGATAGTCTAAACTACAGGGAGATGGGGTTTTTTCACTCACACACACAACTAAGATGTCATGAAGGTTTGAACCCGAGACCTCTAGTCTGCAAGTCAAGGCCCTTTTTCCACCGGACTAGACCCTGTTGGCCATATATGCTTTTTTAAACATAAGAATCACGGGCACATTAATTTCTAGGACAACGAATCAAGGTTCTGAATCAAACTTTATCCTTGCTTTGCCAAAAGAGCGATATCGAAAGCATACATGAACTTGAAGTCTAATCGCCTTGTTGATTTTATAATCAGAAGGATTTCATTTATAGTACATGTTGATTGTCTTCTTCAAGGAAAAAGCATTTTATAGAAATCATTTTATAGCAATAACTTAAATATTTTGCTAAGTAAGTTAAAATTTTCATTCTTCAAGAATTTTGTATTCCTCATTTACCATTTAAATTCAGCTTTGTATGGAAATTATTACCTAAATTTTTTTGGCACGTTTGGTATTTAGATGAAATGGAATACATCACCATGTTATAAATAAGGAGCAAAGTCCTTCTCATCCTTCATAGAAATCCTAGCTAAGTCCTATATATAGTAGGTCTTGTTTTCAAGGGTTTCATCATTTTCTCATTTCCTGCAAATCTGGTTTTTTGAATTCTAGGTTTCCTCAGAAAATAATGGAGGAAAACTCCTCCATTCTTAGGTTTTCAAACAGAAAGAGAGTCAAGGGACAATTGTTGGCTCAAAACCTATCGAGATCTCAGATCTCGTTGAATCAATGATTTACCAGAAGAAATGACTCCCAATTGAAAGTATATTCTCATTCCTCTGCTTTCTTTTTTTCCTGCTGTTGTGTGCTTGCATTTTAATTTTACTCAATGTTGATTTATTTTTCAAAAGTTATAAACTGTTCACTGGTGATGAAAATTTTCGGGTTTAGTCAGATTGCACGTTTTATCGATGTCACCAACTGAGGAAGCAGGATATCTTGAAGAACTTTATGTCTCAGCATCCAGAGTTATTCAACTTACTTATCACACAGCCAATACCCGGGGCACTATCAAGGATGAAGACATACATGCGTTAGGGACTACTCTTGGATGCCAAAAGCCAAGCTCTAATTATGCCAGTGTAGTTCCATCCACCAAGCATATAATCTAGTTTCTGACCAACTCTCATTCACTCACCGGTGACATCTGACGATTATCTTGCAGACATTGAATCTGTTCTTACAAACTAGTTTTGTCAACCATATGATGTTGTAAAATATAGAGCTTATCAAAGGGAGAAGTCTTTTTTTTTTTCTTTTTTTTTTTGGTTTACGTACTATTATCAAACTGAAAGTGTACGATAAGTGAATTTTTCTGTCTTGAGATGGCTTAGAAGTACTGATTGATTAATGAGAAAATTTTCCGCTCTAATTTCTTACTATAAATTTCTTTACTTTGTGCATTGACTCGTTTATCTTTGAAATTTATCCAATATATATTGGATGCACAGAGAAGCTTCACTTTGCTTGGTAATTAGAAGACTTAAAATATAAAGAGGAACAGTTGCATAAACTAAATATTTTTGCATAGATCCTTCTAATAACAATTAAAAAGGGTAACATAGAAAACAGTAGCTAGTTTTTTGAAGGATATATCAAGCTTTTGGAATGCTTAATTTTGAAATCAATGTAAATCAGGTTGCTGGAAATGGGCTAAGCCTGGCCACAGGGACACAAACCAAGGGATGAGCCCTAGGAACCGTGATCCCAGGCGCCTCTTCCATGTTCACAGAAACTCCACCCCTAACCTTCCAATCAAAGCATTGAATTATAGCAGCCACAGTTGCCTGCACAACCTGAAGAGATAAGGTTGTTCCAGGACAGATTCTTCTTCCACTCCCAAAAGGCAGAAAATGAAAATGCTGCCCTCTCACATCCAAAGGGCTCTTCCCACTGCCCTCCTCAGCAAGAAACCTCTCCGGCTGGAACTCAAGTGGGTTCTCCCAATGATTTGGGTCCCTATTGATAGCCCACACATTCACAAAGAGCCTGGTCTTTGCTGGAATAGTATATCCATTGACAGTACACTCTTCTGTGCTCTCCCTTACAACCATTGGGCCTGCTGGGTGAAGCCTCAGTGTTTCCTTCACTATTGCTTGGAGGTAGGGAAGGTTAGCAGTATCAGATTCTCCTACCAATCTACTTTTTCCCACTACAGAATCAATCTCTTCCCTTGCTTTTTCCACCACATTTGGGTGGTTAATTAGCTCTGCTATAGCCCATGACATTGTTGATGAAGATGTGTCAGTCCCAGCACCAAACATGTTCTGTAAAAGTTCATATGTCAGATATGTCAGTTTCCTTATAGCCCCAAAGCCAAAAATAAATACCAACGTTTTTGAGCTACCATGGAATCATGTAGACGATAATGCCGAGACACAAAATTAAATACCAAAATTTTGGGATTTTAAATGATATAATGGGTGACATGTGAGCACGTATGGCTGTTAGGCCCAACATATTCTAATACTATGAAGAAAGTTGAGGTTTCATCCCAAAATTAACTGTGAGTATGGGGCAGTGGCTAAACTCCTTATAAGTCCATCATTGGTCCCTTAACTTTCTAAGGCAGGAAAATACTTTCAACACAACTTTTTCATAATTGTTAATTAATTTGGAAAATAAATTTTGACGACTCTAGTCTCTAGCTGATAAATGTGCACATAAAAGACTATTTACCATGATAAAGCTTTTAATGTTTTCTCTTGACAATTTGATCTCTGAGCCTTGGTCTTCATATATATCAAGCAGAATATCAAGCAAATCCAATCCATCGTCACCCTCCTTTTCCTTAATCCTCTTCCTCCTTTCATCTTCATGCTCCTTTATAATCTTTTCCATCATATCATCGTACCTATCCCGGACCTCTTTAAGCCTTTTTCCATATCCTTGCAAGTCGAAATTCTTGCAGAACCAAAACATATCTGTAAAATTAAATTTCCCTGCAAGCTCATTCATCTTTCCCACCAACTCCCTCACCATGTGGGCTTCTTCCTCTTGTTCCGAACACCGTCGTTTTAGTGCCATCCTCGATATGATGTTGTTGCTTAGCCGCACAAGCTCTGACCCAACATCTAGTTCTTCACCTTTATCAGCTTTGTTTAGCACAACATGTAAAAACCGCTTGATCTCGTCATCCCGAATCGGTAGATTCTGCTCTAGGATTCTGCCTCCGAGGAGTTCAGTCATGCAAAGCTTCTTCATGAACTTCCAGTAAGGTCCATAGGGTGCCATGGCAAAGTCCGTTGAGCCATAAGTGAGGTAGTCTACATTCGCCATCTTGGGGCGGTTCAAGAAGTACGTTTCATTGGTTTTGAGGAATTCTTTGGCCATTTCTGGTGAGGAGGCAACGACACATGGTATGGAACCAAGAAAGAGATGAATTAAAGGTCCATAGCGGTTCGAAAGCTTGTGCAGGCCTTGGTGAGGGATGCGGCCAAGGAGGTGGAGGTGGCCAATGATTGGTAGGGCTCGTGGACTTGGAGGGAGACTTCTAGGCTTGGTGAAGATGGTTCGGAACAAGATGAAAGAGACTAACCATACGAGGAAAAATACAAGGTATTCAAGGAAACTAGCCATAATCATTTGACTAGTGGACTATTAACAAAGAGTGCTAGAGGTGATTAATTCCATGAGAAACACTTATTGATAGCTCTTATATATAATCTTCTAAATTATGGAGGTGGAGAGCTAATCACATCAATGAGATGACGATCAATGTGCTAATTAACAATTAACGACGATAATAATTTAGGCACATATAAGCACCCATCAATTGCCTCACATAATCTAATACGTAAGAAGGTGGTCCTTTAGCATTGTCCTAAAGGATTAATCTTTTACAATTTATAATGGGTTATCTGCCTAAGTGGTTTCATCATGTCAATATCAAGAATGTGTTTGAGAGTGTTTTTTGGTTGAAACACTTCAAATAATGGACATGAATGTAGCCTTTTTTATGTTATTCAACAAATGTCGCCATAAGATTTCATCTTAAAACTTCTTCAACAAAGTGGAGACTAAATGTCACTAGACCAAATAATCATTGCCGATCATCCCAAATTACGGTGTTGAAGTCAACCTTAACAAATAAATTGCAAGATCTGCTGCGACTAATCGTATACTGGTAAATCAAAAGATCAAAGCGGATGAGAAATTGTGAGATTCGCATCACATATATGCGAAAATACAAGTTATATGCAACAGAACTGTTTCTTATCTATATTTGGGGATCATTGTCTTCGCTGGTCATCATGTCCTTCCCTCCATTATTTTATAATGCGAAACAAAAATCCGTACGCCCATTAGCTGTTTGATGTCAGCCAAATTTTGTCAAAAAAACACAAAAGAAATAGGATTTTAGGACCACAAATAAAAATAGGGTGATTCTAATGTGGTCCTTAAATCATTAAACGTACTTTATAATAAAATTGTAATTAAAGTCACCCCAAAAGAATAAAACTTTAGATGTCTAATAGACATCTGACCTAACATCGTTTGTATTAGGGGGACTGTTTTTGGATAAAAGCTTTTGGACTTCCTTAATTTTCAATATGATGTAAGCCTAGGGACCAGATGACTAGGATGGGCAAAGATTAATTAAGAGAGATACATATCTTCATAACCTTCTGTCATTGATTGAAGGACTATTTGTATTTAATTGATGTATCTTCATAACCCTAAAAAGAGATATTAATTCAGAGAGATACTTATCTTGTTGGTTGCTGAGTTTTGGATTCTGCTTTGTATTCTTTTTCTTTCCCCTGTCTTGCTTAAAATGGGCTTTTATCTTTAATAAATTTAGATTTTAAAAAATATTTCTTGTTTGCAATCAAAAACCACCTTCATGGAACAAAGAAGAGTGACTATGGTGGTTTGGATTAATTGCAGGTTGAACCCTGAAAAGAGGATTATTTGGAAGGCTCTAAATCAAAATTAAGTACATAAATTTTCAGCGATAATTTTCTTTACTCCATTAATTCAAGCACGTCAACTTTGGTCAATGGGGCTAGTTTAGTGGAAAAGGGCTCCCCTTTCCTAACTTTGGCAACAACAAAAAAATGATGGCTGGTGTAAATTACTCCAACAGATAATGAGCTATATCATTTATCTCCTACAACATAACCTCAAATTTTAAAACTCATCATTTGCTACGTTTTGAACATATTGGCCCTTGCCTTGTCCAGCTCAATGCTGTTGAATGACAAGTAATAATAGCTTCAATCAGTGAAGAGGCAATTGCTTCCACAAACTTCATTTTGCTTTAACAATCGGTAGGCAATTGTTTAATTATATAAGATTATGATGAATCGTGATACGGACGTTATTAGATTGATATCTGTACTACTGAATAACAATTTCCTATTACTTATTTGTATTTGATAAAATAAAACAATCTTTACAATAACCGAACTTAACCACCACACACACACACACACACATATATATATATATATAAGTAGCCCTTCATACAAAACGCCTTTTTTATTTTAAATATTCAACAATTACATATGCTTAATACGGATTGAGACGTGCTATAGGGTATAACACAAGTGATTTTGCCATTTCTGCTGCAAACCCTGACCCTAATTCCAAATCAATCTTCTCCCCATCCTTGACTTTCCAATCAAAGCACTGTACTAAGGCTGCAATCGTCGAGTGCATCACCAGCATAGCAAGAGATGCACCAGGGCAACCTCTCCGCCCGCTTCCAAACGGGACGTATCGAAAATTCCAGCCCTTCGGCTCCATTTGATGCTCTCCAATTTTCTCCTCTGAGCTATCCAGAAACCTCTCTGGTATGAACTCATCTGGATCCGTCCACAAATCTGCGTCGCGCATGATTGCATAAGCATTGATTAGGATGCGTGCCTTTGCCTTAACAATTGAACCGTATACCTTGCAGTCCTCAATACATTCCCTAATGATGAAAGGTCCTGAAGGGTGAAGCCTTAGGATTTCCTTGATAACAGCTCGAAGATAAGGGAGATTTGGGATGTCTGATTCTCTGACCAACCTCTTAACCCCCACAACTATATCGATCTCCTCCCTGAGCTTCTTGTAAGCTTGTGGATGACTGAGGAGCTCTCCCATGGCCCATTGCATGGCTGCTGATGACGTGTCAGTGCCGGCCATGAATATGTCCTAAATAAGCACATTCAAAATTATTAAACAATTGGGTCAGTAACAAAAAGTGTTTTCTTACTCGATATCTGATACGTTATGTTATCACACTGTAAATTTGGCACTACACTTTAAAATAACATTTCACCTAATTAATGGTCTAAATTAATTGTATGTCAATGAAAGGGAGACAGAGACAAAGAGAGAGAGATCAGTATAGCCTGCCAAAGAATTGAAGATCTTACAAGCAAGAAGGACTTAATGTCATTCCTTGATAACTTCACTTCAGAAGTAGGGTCTCTATATATCTCCAACAATATATCCGTCAAATCTCTCCCTTGCTCTCCTACTTCAGACCTTCCTTCATGCTCTTTCATGATTCTCTCCACCAGCCCATCAAACCGTTGTAACACAGATCCAAGCTTCTTCGCAGTACCGGAGAAATCAAATATCTTGAGAGGCCCCAACACATCACCCACACTCAACTTGGCTCCAAGCTTCATGCACTCATCAATGAGCTTCTTAATCTCCTCGGCCTCATTGTCACTTCCCGAGCATCTCGTGCTCATCACCATCCTACATATTGTATTGTTCGTCAAGGTCGTTAGTTCACTGCTCAAATCGCAAGGTTGTCCCTCTCTTGCCCTCTTTGTTACCTTCTCCACAAGATTCGCCACCTCCTCCGCGCGAATATCAACGGATAAATTGAGTTGTGGGGCAGCCAAAAGCTTATTCATGCAAAGCTTCTTCATAAACCGCCAGTACTCTCCGTAGGGGGCCAAGAGAAATCGAGAGCCTCTATAAATGAAGTGCTCGGAGGAACCAAATTCGGGCCTCGAAGAAAATATGATGTCATGAGTCTTGAAGATTTCTCTGGCAACTTCAGCACTTGAAACCACAATGCATGTGGCAGCTCCGAGGCGTAGCTGCATGAGAGGGATGCCATAGCGGCGAGCTAGTGTTTGGAAGGACTTGGGGAGGACAGAGCCAATGAGGTGGAGGTGACCAATGATGGGTAGGGCTGGTGGACTAGGTGGGTCTTGACTTGAAGGCTTTGGTTTCATATAGCTTTTGATGAAGAAGTGGACAAGGAAGGCAAAGATAAAGCAAATGAAGAATGGCAAGTAGTAATAGGGCATGTCAATAGGAATATAAGTGGCCATATGGATTTGTGGTAGAGCAAATATTGTTCATATGTTAGGGTTGGGATTCACAATTAGCCTAAATATATAGTATATGCTTTCCCTTTTGTTTTATGAGTGGGGTATCAATGAGGGCAGGCTTTCAATATCAAGAATATATTTACACTTCAATATTTGTCCTGTGGACAAAAAGACAGTTGGTATGGTGATGGGGTTGCTGGAAACCCAATTAGAATCTTGTTCCCCAACTTTGCTTTATGGAAAAGACAAACAATAATAGAGTTTAAGAAGGTCCTTAAGTTCTCAAATTTTGAATTTTGGGGTTTTGATCAGAGGACTGACCGATTGCAAAACCTGAAAGTCTTGTGTTTGGTGCTTTGCTAGCTTAGATTTTTATTATCTTCATCATAATTGAGTGGTCCTCGTACGAATGGTTGTGGTCCTAGAACATTGTTTAATAAGATAAGAAGATTAGGGCACCATCATTATGTGTCATCTCATCCTTAATTAAATTCCATTCATGTAATATAAAAATAAAAGTACAAACTTGAACAGAATTAAACAACACCAAAAAAGAGGAGGAGGTCTTTTTTTTTTTTTTTTTTTTTTTGGGTTGTCAAGCTTGAATTTCATTAGATAAATAAAAGGGAGTTTCACTAAAACACCCAAAATGGAGGTTGAAATTATAAAAAAACCCAAGCACTATTTAAACATATAAACACACCCAAAACCCATCATTACACACACTCAAAACCCATTTATAAACACACCCAAAAAGTTGATTTTGGGTGTGTTTCTATGTTTAAATAGTGTTTGGGTTTTTTTATAAATACATGTCTAGGATTGAGTTTATTTATAAATTTGTATAAATAAAACTCATGGTAGATAGCTTAATGAATTAGCTAGAATTGATTAGAAGTGGAATATGTACTCTTCGACAAGGCCCAAAAGAGTACATAAGAGTACATAGCTCACTGCCAAAACAAACAAAGGCCCAACAACAAAAGAGGCGCAACAGAAAAGCAAGAAAACCTTAGTCACCATGAGTCATTCTATAGTGAAGGCCTTAACCGTTGAATCAAATTAACTAATTTGATCTAATAGTTAATTAATTTGATCTAACGATTAAGAAATAAGGTCTCATCCAAGGGCTTTAGATAAGACCATTTGTAGAATTCCTGTAGTCGGCATAAGCAAGGGGAAGCACCCAATTGCCCTTTTTTTTTATTTGGGCTTTGGTTTGAAGTCTTTGTTTTGGATTTGTCATTTTGCAAGATGAATAATTTCTTGTTTTTCTTATTGAAGAAATGATAATCAAGCTAAGGGCCCGTTTATTATTCTACTTAGATCCAATTTCATAAACTCAAAAACATATTCTCTCTCTCTCTCTCTCTCTCTCTCTCTCTCTCTCTGTAAGGTTATGTTTAGCTAAGGCTTTTTGCTTTCCTTGACAACTTTGTAATTGCACGTGTAATACATCGCTCTAGGTTAATTAGACTAGGATAGTCTAATTTTAGATGATTACTGTGGCTAAGATCAACAGTGGTACGATGCAATCAAGATCTTCAAAGATAAATCATGCATTGTATAAATATTAGATTATGTTTAGCTAAGGCTTTTTGCTTTCCTTGACAACTTTGTAATTGCACATGTAATACATCGCTCTAGGTTAATTAGACTAGGATAGTCTAATTTTAGATGATTACTGTGGCTAAGATCAACAGTGGCACGATGCAATCAAGATCTTCAAAGGTAAATCATGCATTGTATAAATATTAGGACATATCGAGTCAACGTGATGACTAGTCATCCGTTACTGCCAGCTCATTCAATTTCTCACGTGTTACCAGCTATAGTTTTCTATCCTTATGACTTTTTTGTCTTATTATGAAGTCAATGAGTGGCTGCCAGTTGGGGGAATTTAGGGCAGATTTCTTTTTGGGTAAAAATGGAGGCTACAATATTGTAGCCATCACTTTGACAGAAATATAGAATTTTGAGAGCCTTTCTTCTCTGCTTTTCTTCCTTCTCAGTGAAGTTTGGGTTTTCATTATGAGATTTTGAAAAATGGTTTTTAAAATCTGCTTTGATATTTGAAATCCTCTTCACTCATTCATTCTTCATTTTTGAGAGAGAGAAATAGAGTCATCTTATTTTTCTCCTCTGCAAATGGTGAGATGAGTGAGATATGAGGTTTCCAAAATGATATTTTCAAAAAAAATTTGAAATCTGCTTTGTTATTCAAAATCTGCATCTATGATAGTTAAACACATTCTCATTCATATCTAGATCAGATTCTTGGATTAATTTCTTCAAGAATGGTTTCTTGAAGAAATCGATCTTTTATTCATTGAATTTACATATTCATCGATCTGTCAATCCGGAGCTGAGTTATGGTGCCATGGTGAAAGATCTGATAGACTAGCTGCCATTTCCATGAAGCACAAGCTACTAGCTCAACTAAGTTTGGAGAAGAAGGTTGCACGTGGAGGTAGTGCTCATTTCCTAAATAGACCTAGGATTGCTTGAACTTGTGATTACTTTTTCTATAAGAACCTTCTTAACTTAGTTGATTGCTTGGTCGGAGTGATGAACCCCAGTTTGCCTGGTCGGAGTGATGAACCCCAGTTTTTCCCAATGGTGGGTTTTTTGGTAAACATTTCTGGTGTGATTCTCTGATTTATATGCCTAGTCATATTGTTTGTGTTATATCTGAAATGTTGATGAATGTTCACACATCTATCACTCTAGTTGTTGCTAGCACAGGGAATGCCTAGATTGACCGGTCCTTTTGAGTGTCTAAGTTGTCATGTAGTTATCTTCTAGGCTTGCAGGGATTTGAATATTTGATATGTTGTGCATTTGTGTTATGCTTATATGTTCATAGGTCTATGACTAGTTATTCACTAGTCATATTGTCTCCAAGTTTATTTGATCATTATTGGCATACATCTGTCCATTGGGGTTTTAATTTACCCCTTTCACTTAAGTACCAATTACACTCTCTCATGGCACCCGATTTGGTTTGTCTTCACGAACCAATAACCATCAAAACCATTCTATTTATTTTCCTTTTAAGTTATGAAAATTAATTTTCAAATGAACAGGGTATTAGCTGGTTTGGAGACTGAAGAGCTGAGTTGGAAACCTTTCTATAGTTGAGCATGTTACAAGGACATGGGCACCATTTGAATGCAAGGGATGCACGCAACGCAGGCACTACTGAGTTTGCCTTTGCAGCCTCTTCCTATATTAAAAGTCAAGTCCTTGTTCCATTCTTCTCCATTGTTCCTTTATCACAAGTCAAGTCCAGGCAGTGATGTGGAGGAGCAAAAAAACTTACATGTAACAGGGATAGCACTGTTTTGCTATTCCCAGCAAATAACACAATGACATGTAGAGAAATTATCCTATGTGTCATTGCGTTATTGGCCGAGGATAGTAAAAAGTGTTATCTCTGTTATATGAGCGTTTCTCTCGTGGAGGAGGGGCTAAGAACAACAGTGGCCTGCATTGAAGGTAACTGCTTGCCATTTAGTCCACGAGCTTGCTATTTTGAGCCACACTCTTCTTTGTTTTGTTTTAATATATAATTTATGCAAAGGCGGAACTAGAAATTTTTCAACTGGTGGGTTAGCTTAAAATCTAGTGATCTTGTTAACTTACAATTTCTATATTGTTTTATAGAAATAAGAGAATACATTAAATTATATAAAGCACACTAGTTCATAGCTCTATGAACTAATTTCCAATAAGCTTTAATATAAAACATATACATATTAATGTGGCCAAAAACCACTAGATTCATGCCCAGTAAAACTAGAAGGAAATTTAATGATAAAGTGATCCAGTGCCATAGAGACAATCTTGCTCAAAAAATTTAGCCTGCTGCTATTTCCATCTCCATGTCCCATTTCTCCACCCATCTTATCTTCAAATTTTAAAGACAAATTTACCCCTTTGTAAAATGACTTTTAAGAACTTAGGACAAAAAACCTCAACTCACATAATCCACCTACTCTACTCTCCTTGATTTTTAATGTCTCCTAGAAATGCATAAACTAACCTCCACCATTATGAGCAATCCCACCTCATCCTTGAATAGTGATTCGAGAGAGCCACCAAGCGCATAGCAGAACATACATGCTATGCCATTACATCTTCATCCCAATAGTAAATAGTGGCAGTCACATTATTGCATCCAATCAGCCTTGACCATATCGTCGAAACTCGGCATCTCATGATATTTGAGATTTCAAATCTGATATATGAATCCAAACAAGGATAAGGTATATACGTCTTGAACCAGTATTGAATTACTCCCCATTTACAAAATGCAATGCATTTTAACGAAGTCTTGTAAGTTTTTTCACCCATCTTACTATCCCCTTTCCTGAAATCGATCCTCTAGTAGATCAAACGCCTCAGCACCCTTCCCATCCCAGCACAAATTTACCTCTTCATAACTCAACTACTAATGATTAGCAAAGAGAATTTACTTGAATTAATAATTAAAGGGTATTTTAGGAATAATGGTGGGTAGAAAGATAAGATTGTGTTTTTAAAAATTAACATGGTGGATGGGAGGATAAGATGCGTAGAGAAATAAGACAGAGGTGGAAATAGCAGCACTCAATATTTATTATATAATGTACCAATAATAGAAGCTAATGAAAATCTGAAAGTAGAGCATTGATGCCCACCATTGCAAACAGACAATACTTGTTCTTCCTCTGGTTTGGTTCTTATCTTTTGTTCATGGTGAATATCCATACCACAATACATTACCCTACCGGCTTGCAGCTTGGTTTTTGCAATCACTTCAATTGGTAATGGCAAATTTAAACTTGCCCCACATAATTCCAATACTAATTCACTTTTTTGGATCAAACATTCCCACTTCCCCTGTTTCACTTCTTCCACTTGGCTATATAACTTACCAACTGTAAGAGTAAAAATGTGGAGGAGGCTTGACTTTGTATCGAGCTGAACTCGAGTAGCAGGTATGTAGTAATCTGAATCCAGACATGACATATCTCAGCCTGCTGCTAGATTTATTTCTTCTTTCTCTGTGATAGGCAAATATTTCCTTCTTTCTCATCAACTTGTTCATTTTTTTCTAATCCCATAGTATATACTCAAATCAGCAACCGAAGTTTCCATGATTTCCGAATTAGATATACAAATCTTAAAACCATAGTATACAATGACATTCTCACATTTAACTGCTGCATCTATGAATGAACATAAAATTCCAAAACATTAGAGAATCAAACTGCATTTGATGAGAACAAATGCTTCACGTCATAAACGAAAAGTAATTGGCATCATTGTACATGAGAAATGATCTGAACAAATACAACAAAGATGGAGATGTGGCCCTATATATACACCATTTCAACCACTTATCTACTGCTAAGACCATCAAAGAATGATGGCAACTAGACACAAGAATATAGTAACCTCACACTGAGAACTTTAGCAGTGATAACTGCCCCTGTATACTAAGACCTAAAGCACATTAAGTTTCAAAACAAAAACAAAATCTGCTAAGTCAAAGTAAAGTTATCACCAGAAGATGATAAAAGTCATATGGTAGGCAATATCACCAGAAGATGATAAGTCATATGGTAGGCAATATCACCAGAGGATGATAACCGTCTAACTGAGTATCAAAACGGTATCACCAGAAGGTGATAAGTCTCACTGAGGGTCAGAAATGTATCACCAGAAGGTGATAAGCCTCAACTGCTCTAAACCTTGTCCAATCTCCTATGTTCCAATGCTAATGTTGCTGCTCCCTCATCGCATTGACATCAAAGTTCGAACTCTTTTCTCCCTCTCAGCCTTCTTAGCACTGGGGGTCCTCTTCAGCCTCTGAAGTTCTTCCATCACCACTTTCTCAACTGTGTCAATTGAGTTCAATAGTTTCTTCTGTGGTGTAAGAAATTCCCCTTCAGCAGTCTGAGTGTTAGTGGCCTCCCTTATAATTTTCTGCACTCTACCAACGGAAGGAGGTGGGCATTGCTTGGTTCGAACAGCTGAATATGGAGTAACAGGAACACCATGCTCAAGTTGAGCACCTGGCACTAGCAGATATTGATCAAGTATATTCCGGCCCTGTGGAACTTGACCCTCAGTGTGTTGGCCATCGTTCTCAACCAAGCGTGCTCTTCTCCTTTCAATGGCCTGCTTAGAAGTATTAAATTGGGCAATTGAAGTATGGAAAGAGATATTCATATTGTATAACAAGTATGAGCTAATCAATGAACTAATCAATGCATTATACCACAACTAGTATACAAAGTACATACAATAGAATAAATGTGCATACTATTAAGGCCAAAAAAGCTGAACCAACACACAATTAACGCTAAACTACCTGTTTGCCAGGAGAACTGGGACCTCAGATTCCTCATAATAAAAATAAAAATAAAAAAACTACTCAACTAAATTTTTATACAACTTCTTACTATACACCAAACACATACACATGTGTTTTTCATCTTTATAAATTCTAAACCGCATGACAACAAGACATTAATGCAGTCCAAGAGAACACAACAAATCAAGATTTAGGGAGACATGCGCTCAAAACATTAATTGCTACAGAATAAGAATCAATCAAACCCAGACCAAATTGCAATAAAATTAATACGTCAATTACTACAAACAAAGAAAAAGTGAAACCCATATGATATATCAATCAACCACGAAATGGGTTACTTCAAATTAATCAAACAGACATGAAATTAACTCAATTAAATTAAACCAAATTAAACTAAGAGCCATTCAATAAACCAAGAAATGGGTCACTGCAAACTAATCAAACAGACATGAAATGAACTCAATCAAATCAAACCAATCAAACTAAGGCCATATACAACCGTCAGATTAACGCAATTAAATCCATCGCTCAATTAACTAAACAAGCAACACGGAAAGACAAAGGGTCAAGAAAGTGACTCTTACCCTCACAACAGCACTGATATCCTGGAGAGGGGTTCTTGGGTACCAAGAAGGTAACACGCTGTTACTGGATCTGCCCCTTCTCCGGCGAGAACTCCCGGCCGGCGGCGTGTTCTCTCTGGCCGGTGTCGTAAACCCAAATGGGATCCGACCACGCCCATTTCCGGTCCTCGGAGTCCTCAAACTGCTCCTCAGGAGCCCTCCACCACCAACAACTCCGGTGGCCCCAAACCCTAATGCTGTTGGGGCTCTCTGTCTCGCTGGCGTTCTCGACAAGTCTGGAACAACCTGAAGAACCTGCTCTGGCGGATCTATGTAAATACTGCGATTGCGCGATAGCCATTGAGCATAGGTGTCTGCGAGATCAACAGGCGGCCTTGAGAGTCTATCTCTTGCTTCAGCCATTTCACGACACAAACTGAAAAGGCAAAAGGAAATTTAGATCAAACAGAAAATCAAAGGGAACTGTCGCAAGAAAACGCGACGAGTTCCTGAATCAGATCTAAACAGTTTAAGAGATTTCACAACGGAAAAGAGAGCAGAGCTCTCAGTTCCCCAGAAAATGCAAAATTTTCGGAGGCAAACTACTATCAGAACTTCTACTATTAGGGGTAACCATATCAAGAAACCCCAAAATTTTACCGACCCAGATGACATTTCAATCGGAAATGATAATCTTAGGGGCGATCCAGATGCTTCATTTTAGCATACAAATCGACCTAAGAGAAGAAACCCCGATGGCCATTGATTTACCTGGAGGAGAATTAGGGTTTTGGAGCGTTTTCGTTTGACAGCGTAAAGTGGGGGGGTCTCTGAATGTAGAAGAAGAGAAAGCTTGGATTTGTGAGAGAGCGAATGGGCAAATTTTCAAACTGGAAAAATGGGCGGTCTTGTAGACGCCCAAACCCCAACCCCAAAGTTTCGCACGTGTCGGGAAATTTCGCACGTGTTTGGCATTTTATCCTTTTCTTCTTCTTAGCGGGATCCAAATTTCGAATTGTCTTTGTCCATTAAATTTCAAATTTTCTTAATGAGCGGGATAAACAAGCCAAGTTTGTTTTTAGATTTTGGATCTCCAAGTTATTTTCTCATAACTAGATTTCAAAGTTTAAATAAATTGTTAGATTATGGAATAATTGATTTTCTCGACTATGGTCAACGCTTCTTTTGAAAGCCATCAATTTTGAATTCGAGTAAACACAATTGTTTAGCTATACAGTCTAGGCTCTCTACCCTATTGTAAAAACCTACCGAGTTTTGGTTTCATATCTCACCAACGAGACTTTGTTGTATAGTTAATTAAATTAAAATAAGCATCATATTAATTTATGAAACAAAAAATTGCAAATTGTAATCATACTATGCCTTTCGAATGAGAACATAAATGAAACAAAACAAAAAACTCCTGAATGCTGCGCTTGAAGTGACCAAAATCCAAATCATACATCAATTCTGAGAAACTTTGTACAAAAGATTCTATATTCTAAAAAGTAGAACAAACAGCTTCCAATTCCATATACTAATATGGAGGCTGTTTTCTGGAAATTAAGCCTCAAAAAAATTGAAAGTAAAAGTTTGATAAAATTAGGAGGAAAAGCAGCAGCCCCCCTTCCTGGAGGCATCCGACTCTGGACTAGGAACGATAATCGCAGTTCCCTTTAGAAACCCTGAATCTCCACCATCTTGCGCATTGGAAGCAAGGGTCTTCTTGCTCATTATCCGGTATATCTCCATTAAAATCATCAAGAAGGCGGTTTCGACATTGGTGGCTTCAAGAGCAGATGTCTCCATAAAAAATAGGTTCTCTCTTTGAGCAAACTCCTGTGCATCTTCAGTTGGCACTGCTCGGAGACTTCCCAAGTCGCATTTGTTGCCGATGAGCATAATAACAATGTTCTTGTCAGCATGGCCCCTTAATTCCTCCAACCACCTAGCCATGTGATCAAATGATTGGCGCTTTGTCATGTCATAAACCAGCATTGCTCCGACTGCGCCTCGGTAGTATGCACTCGTGACAGCTCTGTACCTGAAGAGATAATCAAGGGGATGAGTTCTAGAGGCCATAAATTATAATCAAATACTGAAAGCTAACAGTTTGGAAGGGAAAAAAATAAAACCAAATTGCACTCTTCGTATTTTGGCAAACAACAAATGTTACAGAAATTTCTTGCAATTACTCAGTCCAAGCTGTCACTTGTTAGGACATTTTGAGGTTTCACAATTCTATGTTTCCGAAAATGAAGCCAAAAAGAGTCTAAAAGTTTGTTTCAAGCTCTTCTACATTTCGTATACAAGCAGCTTCATTCAAAAATTCTAATATCCATTTGAAGCTCTCATGTAAAAGATTCTCCTTCAAAGACGATAAGCGCTTCCCATGTCCATATAGTACATCTACATTGGAAACCACTGAGACCAGATTGTAGCAAGAAATGGATCCTAAATAAGCAATCAATGAGATGTAACCCGGTGAGATCTCATTCTGTCCACACAGAGTGCATTAGTAGAGTCCCTAACAAGTAACAACCTAGATCGAAATTAAGATTTGTTTTCGGGGTGCAAGTTTCCAAAAAATCAGTCATTCATCTTTAATTAAGTCAGAAGGAAATGGATGCTAGGTGAAGGAAAGGTGATCAAGAATGATGCGTGGAGGAATCAACAGCGAAGAGATAATGAGGGGACAGAATTCAGATGTGTTTGGAGGGTTGTACATGAAGGTGAAGATGGAAGAGCAAATGCAGCTCCTGAGGTGGCAGACCTCTGTCTACACCACCATTTGTGAGCAGCTTGATGAGATGCATAAGACTGATAAAGAGGATCTTGCTGGCTGGAATGAGGTGGGGAAGTAATATTGCAATCCGTCAATGGCATCTGGTGGCCACAAGATAAATTCAAGGTAGCACAGCAGAGAACCCCAACAACTGTGCAACTTCAAATCCTTAAAAACTGTATTTCATCTCAAATTTCTGAACTCACATATGATGCCTTCAAGTTAAACACCTGTTTTGTGTCTCTACATCATTGCTGTGTGCAACCTTAAATGCAGCACCATTCTATTTCATATGCTTTCGAAACCAGACATTAGATCCAATCCTTGAAATCTGCTCATCCTGCAGCACCTTCTGTTTTATTGATTGGTAAACATTTTTGTTTAAGAACAAATGGAACAGCAATTCCAAAACAAACACAAGTGGAGCCCTCCAACTAGAAATGCAGATCCTTTATTGTTACCATCCATTTAATGGGTATGCCTTGTGCAACAAGATATCCTAGATGATCTACAAATAATAATTAAGCAAAATTTTCATCATTTTCCAAAAATGAAACAAGAAAAGTTATTGGAGACAATGGTGCACCTTTCTTGGCCAGCAGTGTCCCAAATCTGAGCCTTCACCGTCTTGTGATCGAGAACAAGAGTTTTCGTCTGAAATTCGACCCCAATTGTGGCTTTCGAGTCCACACTGAATTCATTTCTAGCAAAGCGCGCGAGCAGCTGTGTTTTTCCAACTGCCGAGTCTCCAATTAACACCACTTTGAACACATAATCAATTTTCTGATTGTAATCTCCGTACAAATTCGACATCCTCACCGCGATCAAACCACACCAGATTGCTTCTCAAACCCACAATTTGGAACATAAACAACAATATGAAACAATGCTGAATTTTTCAGATCAACCATGTGCGTATATTTTGCTGAACATGAAAAGCTTGTGTTGCATCAGAGCAGGGATTGGGGTATGTTTGGAGAATTGCCGAAACAGAGAGGGAGAGAATGGGAAATGTGGTAAAATTAGGGTTTGAAAGGAAGAGGAGAGTTTGTTAGGAGCTGGACATGGTGGTTTGGTCATTTGTGGAGAAGGGGAGGGAGAGAGGAGTTAGAGGCGGGGAAACCATCGGCTAGTACGGGTCCCATTAACGGTTTTTCAAGTTCACTGTGAGAGTAGTTTTGAGTGTACTTGCCGGTACAACAGTTTTGGTACAAGTGGTGAGATCTGGATCGTCCGTTTGATAGGTAGGGCCCGTAAAAAATCTCATTATTCTCTACATGACGACCGCCAATAATAGTCACATTATTCTATTTTGAACTTGACTTTGTAACGCAGACGTCATGTCACATGCTACATAAATTGATATAAATTGATATAGAAATTTATATGATTAAGTTGATGTCTATAGTATTATTGAAAAAAAATGTTGGAAGTGATTGAGTATTTTATAGCTAATAGTTTGGGAAATAATAAAAGTCAATATCTTCCAACACAAACTACATTTCCTTTCACAGTGCTCACGAGCCTCCCTAGCATTCATGGTCCATGGTCTACGCAATGCAAGGCCTCCCACGTCCTCTTCAATCATAAAACCCCCAAAATACGAGAAAAATTTGGTTTTAACGGAAATAGCATTATTTTAGTATTTTCGGTCAATAAAATTATGTCACGTGTAATGACGGAGCCAGTTAAGGCCCACAAGGGTCAGCTGACCCTCCTCCAATTTATGCAACAAATGCATTTGTTATGTGTTATATTTGATTTTCTTGGGTTTCTATTATAGATGACCCTTCTAACTTTCTAACTCTAGTTAATTGTTATTCTTTACTTATATATTTTTTCCTATATTTATCTTTACTCCCTTCCTTTTTAACTTCAATCTTTCTATTCTTTCATTTATTGAGTTCTCTTACAGTTTTTGTTATTGAATCGGCCATAAATCAAGTAAACTTCTCAACAGCTATTCAGTTCTCTTTTGAGCAATGCTTTATGATTTGATTCATGTCAAATTATTTCTTTATAATTTATTGTGCGATGCGGGTTATGATTTTGAAAGATAACAATTAAAATATACAATAAAAAATATATTATGTTACTATTAACAATTTTTCCAGGCTAATAATGTTGACCCTCTTTGAGAGAATTCCTGGCTACGCCACTGGTCACGTGGAAAAGTTATTATATGTAATATATCATTACTAGCTAGAGATAGTAAAACAATATTATTCCCATTTCATACAAGTGTTTCTTTCAAAACAACAGGTCCGCAGAGTCTGCCAGCTAAAGGCTTAGGCAGGACCTTTCTTTTTCTGAAGAAACCTAGCTACACAGAAATAAAACCATCCCTTTTTATCTTCCAAAAAAGGACAAACAAGATGGTGAGATCATGGGCTTTGATACTGCGATTTTGTTTTGCTGGCTGCTAAATATTTAGTGCTGAGTTTACCTTTTGAAAACAGGATAA